TCCCCTGAAACATACGCTTGCGGTTGCGATGGCCCCGACGCCGACGCCCACGCCAGCACCGTCGCCAGCTCCGACGCCAGCACACACGCTAGCGCCAACGGTGCCGCCAGCGCCCACGCCAGCACCGATGCGCGCGCCTGCGCCAGCACCGACGCCAATTCTGACAGACATCTGCGCAAATCTGGGTTCCGAGATTCCCTGGGCTCAGGTGGTCAGGCCACTTTGGGTTGAGACATCCTTGCAACTCTGGGTTCCGAGATTCCCTGGGCTCAGATGGTCAGGCCACTTTCGCTGAGACATCCTCGCAACTATGACGTCGGAGATGCGCTGCCCCATGGTGGTCCAGCCACTATCGCATGACACATCCTCGCAACTGGGGCTTTGGGATGTGTGGAGCTCGGGTGGTATCCTCCCTTCTCCGCGCTGCGTTGTTGGGGGACATATTTTCGCCTGAGACATCCTCGCAATTCTGGGCCCCGAGATGTGTTGAATTCGGGTGGTCAGGCCACTTTCGCCTGAGAGATCCTCGCAACCCGACCTCGGAGATGCGCGGCCTCATGGTGGTCCAGCCACTTCCGCGTGAGACATCCTCGCAACTCTGGGTTCCGATATGCCCTGAGCTCGGGTGGTCAGGCCATTTTTTCTGGGACATCCTCGCAACTCTGACCTCTTATCTGGCCTCCTCCCCGTGTGTCCCTCCCTTCCTCTCCGAATCTTCGCCTCTGCGGCATGTGCGGGCATGTGTGTTTATAGTTTCGGAGTTTGTCCAGGCTGTGCATCCGACTGTGCGTCGGACTGTGTGGCATGTGCGCGCATGTGCGGTCATGTTGTTGAGGCTTTTGCAGTGTTGCATTGGCATGTGCATGCGACTGCGCCGCATGTGCGCGCATGTGCGGCCCCTTCCGGGGTTCAAAACGAATGCGATCACCATAGAAGTGAACACGATTGAAGTGAGCCCGGTGACGGCGGCGAAACGTTGGACATCCTCGGAATTGAGGCCAGGGAAGCCTTGAATTGAAGTGAGCTGGCCCGTTTTCTCTGCGTTCAAAGATGCGGTTCTCGAAGTGTTCGGGCCGGTTTCGCTTGAAACATCCTCGGAGGTGAAGGCTCCGAAATACCTTGGTTTGAGATGCGCTTGCCCGTTTCGCTTGGGACATCCGCGCATGTCGTTCAGGAGCTGGCCGGGGGGTCGTTCAGGAGTCTTGGGGCAGCTTGTGCCGTTGGAGCGCTTCTTCCTTGGCCCCTTGGTCTCTTCAGTGGGTCTCTCCGTGGTCCGTTCTTGGTCCCTCCGTGGTTCTGTTTTGCTCCCCTCTCGGCCCTTTCTTGGCCCTGTCATGGCCCCTCCCTCCGTGGTCTCTCGAAGGTCCCTCCTTGGTCCCTCGGTGGTCCCTTCGTGGTCCTTCTTGGTCCCTCCCTGTGGTCCTTTGCGTGGTCCCTCCGTGTTCCCTCCGTGATCTTTCCGTTGTCCTTTCTTGGTCCTTGCGTGGTCCTTTCGTGGAACTTCCCTGTGGTCCCTCGCGGGCTCCAACGACGAGCGATGGTGATGACCACGACGACGTCCAGAAAATTGTGGAGACCCCAGCAGGAGGCCCCAGACCACCTCGGGGCCACCAGGCGACGATGAATATGGTCTTGGAGCTTATGACGAGCACGTTGGTAGCCATCTTGGATGAACGTGCTGAAAGTGGGTCCACATTGAAGGCTCCGTAGGGCAATGCGGAGTCCAACGAGGGTAGGCGGAACCACATCGGGGCCGTTTTCGGAGATTTTGGACACCCCAGCCTTTTCAGGAACCACCGGCAGGTTCTTGAGGAGGGTGCCAGGGGAGAAATTAACGGTAAATCAGTCTCCCACTTGGACGGACGAAGGATTGGAAGAGCTGATCCCCAAAGCCACCCACGGCCAATCGGAAAGCCACGCTCTTGGTCAGGAGTCCTGCCCTTGGCCAGCCCGTCCGTCGCCCTTCCAGCAACAACGAACTCCAGACTTCTCGACCCCGTAACTAGCATCCACTTCTCGCCGTTGATCGTTTTTGGTTTTTGCGCGAGCCTTGTCAAACGCAACCGGCATCCAATGTCTTCTGCAATCTCTGCCAACAGTTGGGGGGATGCCCCAGTCGCCTAGGCATCTTGATTACAGCCCCCCTGTGGCGCACTGATGTGATGCACTTCGTGGGCCCGTCGCCGTTTTGGCTCCGACAGCGCGCCCCCAATGGTGTCGCCGTAACAGTGACCCGTCGGAGACCACCTCAAGAACGCTAGCTAGCGCTCGGTTTCCCGAGCCCGGACGAACCAGTGCGCATGGCGGCAGAACGTTTGCACAGCGCTCTCAAAGATTTGGGGGTGCCGGACATCGCTGCCGCGGGGTTGCTCCAACAAGCACAGCGCATTGCTGGCGGGAGCTGTGGTGCCCTGTCCCATCCGAACCGGAGCTGCCCACACTGTAAAGGGTCCATGCGCCCGCAGGAGCGGGATGCTGTGACAGCAAGTGTGCTTAGTGTAGGTGGATGGGAATGGCGGCGCCACGTGCCGTTGAGATGCGAGAGGCGCGGGTGCGCGCGAAAGCGCGTGTGGTATAATTACATTTCAGAGTCTACGAACAACCATGCGTGGCATTGGAGTGGACACGATCGGCTGGGATATTTTTTCCTTGCCAACACCTGGGGCGTGTCTGCCCGGTGGCTGCGGCAATTCACGCAACGCTTAGCCTTCCAGCACGCGTCTTTTGACAGCGAGGCCAAGGTTTACGGGGAGGCAGCTCGTCGAGCAGGGCTCGCAGAGGTGGTCCCGTTCAGAGCAGATTTGAAGTTGCAGAGGGCCTGGATCGCGCGGCGCGTTATGGCCCGTATGTTCGAGCACGGGAACGGCCAGGGGGAGCTGAATTTGTTGAAGACGTCGCCGGACTTGATAAAAAACCATTTGGTCATGGTACCCAGAGCACATGTTCAGCCGACGAGTGCAGGGGCTCACGGACAGCGGGCGCTCCATCAACACGATCGTCATAGATGGGAATGCGAAACTGGCCCGCCGGATCTGCGGGCGAGCTGTTGCCGAACTGATGTACTCCCCCTCCTTGGAGAGGTACACTGCCACGCAGTGCTCTTGCAAACCGGGATTCAAGCTGAAGCGTTGCAGCAAGCACTTGGCTCGCGCCCTGACTGAGGATGACGGCCCGCCGCAAAGTGAAAACTTTGTTTCGCACAAGCGCCGGCGCGTGCTGGAAACGGCCCCCAGGGCTGAACCGTGCGACGTGTGCCTCGTGGCGCGGGACCAGAAAGATATCCCAGGAGCGCCGAGGCGCTGGGCCGCCGCGCGCCAGGTCACCCAGGGCCAACTGCAAGAGTACTGGGGCAATGCTGGACACCAGGCGTACATCCCGGCGATATCACCCGACGCGGAGTTGCAGTCCGTGTCGCGCAGGACCCACAATGAGGCGCAACTGGCAGGGCCATCGTGCATCTGAAGGAGTACGTGGGCGCAGAGAGTCTGCCGCAGCGCTACTTCTTCTTGGCGGAGGTCGTGGAGAAGGCCCCAGCAGTCGACGTTGTCCGCCACGACGATGCTTGCCATTTGCGGCGGTGCGCTTCGAAGCGCGAGGGCGACGGCGCCTTCGCGCGCAGGCTCGCGTACCCCAACATCAAGTACATCACCGACGGACTGCGCGACAGAAACCACGTGGACCCCTGGTGCCTAGCAAATTGTTCACCTAAGGCAGACTGCAACAAGGAGCTCGTGAAGAACATCAATAGCCAGATCTGCGAGCAGCTGTTCTCGTCTCTGGGGCGCCACAAATATTCTGCGCGCCGCATGGGGCAGTTTACCTCGGCCTTCTTGCTAACGGAACTGGCCGAAGTGAAAAATGAGGCCTGGCTGGCCGAGCAGGCGCGCGCGGCCCGCGCGGCCGCGAGTGCGGGGCAGCCGCGGAGCGAGTGAGCGAGGCCGCCCGGGCCCGCGCGCCGATTGCCCGCTGCTTAGGCACCGCGCCCGCCATGTCCGGAGCGTTGCACGGTTGGGCCAGGTGCATGTATACGTTGCACAGAGAGAATGGAGAACGGTGTGGGCGGGAAGGAAAATGACCAGGCGCGGTCGGGGCAGCCGAGGGGAATGACAATTGCCCGAGCAGAACCCGCGCGAGCGCACTCCTAGGGGCCCACCACCTGGTCCTCGCAGACAGTTGGCTCGAGTGGGAACCCGACTTGGCCCCGACGCGCGGCGGGGGGGCGATGCAGCAGTTCCGAGATGAGATGCGCGCCGTGTGGGACATCGTCGACAAGGAGTACGACTCCAGGGTCGCCTTGGGCCACAAGGCATCGCAAGCGATTCTCACTCTAGCCACCCGGGCGTCACATCGCGAGTTCCCGTTCGGAATGGGAATCCTCGCCCACCTGTGTGCTTGCACCAACGGTGCACTGACCAACATATTCCCTGGTGACCCAAGCCCGGTAGTCTTGCCGGTCGTCAACATCAATTACCCGCAGACTCGGAAGAGCTCCACGCACCGGGCGGGCCTCGTCGTGGGGCGCGCAATTGACGACCACGTGCTGGCGACTGCGAGCGCCTTGGCCACGGGGGCAGGCCCTGGCGCGGAGCTCAGATTCGCCGGCCGATCGAGCACCTGAGCGAGTCAGCGGCGGATCGGATCGCGGGAGCGACCGGGTCGGGCCAACCGCCAGGGGGGATCGACTGGCTCGGCGCGGGAAATGCGATCGTTCAGTCCGATCGCGCGGGGATCCCAGACCCCCGACGTAATGATTTTCTCATTACGTCGACCCCCGGAGGTCCCGACCCTTTCCCCATGACCGGCTTCGCATCCTGAGCCGTTTTTTGACGCTCCCGAGGCCCGGTGAGGGCCCCCGGAGGCAGAAAATTTGGAAAAACCTCCCGTCATGATTTTTTCATGACTCGAGGGGGTCTGGGATCTCGGAATGGCGCCTGCGAGGCGACAACGTCGGGGCGTGCGGGAGGGCGGGGTTTGCCCCTTCGGTGAAAGTGGAATCTTCCATGCTCACGAGTTTCACGGAGGCGGCGTTCTTCTTGCGATTCGCCGGGGACTGGGACCAAGTGGCCCCGAGCGAGTCGCACGACTTGTCGGGGCACGTGTACAACGGGACATTGATCAATCTAGACGAGGCGCACCGCTTCCTCAAGATGGTCGGCCTCATCCCCGCGCAGAGCACAAAGGGCGGGCAGCGTGCGAATGGTGGGGCTGCCGGCCTTGCCCCCTGCTTGGAGATTGATGAAGGGGCCCGGGCGACGACCGCCCCCTCCGTTGTCGCGGGGTGTCGGGGGAGATGGGCCCACCAGACTGACCTGGCAGGGCGAGGCCGGCCCCCTGCGCATTCGCGTGCGCCGGAGCAGGCGGCGACGCCGGGGCATGCCGGCCGACGCGGCATCGGAGTTCAATAAGTTGATGCAAACAGGCCACACGGCAATGACTACAAAGACAGCGGGTGCTTTCGGTCAAGGAAGCGCCCCAACGGTCTCGATTGGCATCAGTGGCAATGGGCACCCTTCCGTCGTTGTGCCGATGCTGCGAGGCTCCCTCGGCACTGACGCAGTGGCCACGTCGTGCCGCTTGCTGTTCGCGTCGGGTCGCCCTGTGGAGCCTCACTCGCCGCCCCCCGTGCAGCTCGAGGTCGGCGTCGATGGCGAGGGCGACCGCGAGTTCGAGGGGCTGGGCGATCAAGCCAGCCACGGCGGCGCGTCGGCCGCGGAGGAGGAGGGGCCGCCGCTGGCGAGCGTGGCCAACGACGGCGCGGGAGACGCCGCGAGGGCGCCGGCGGCGGCGGCTGCGGCCGAGGGGGGCGGCGCGGACGCAGACGCCCATTTCCTGGTGCCAGGCGACCCGGAGGTCCCCTCCATGGATGAGGGGTACGGCGAGGACCAGAGATGGCGCTTGCGCGGGGTGGGGTCGGCGTGGGCAAGGGCAAGGGGGCTTCGAGCCAGGGTGGAAGGGGCCTCGCCCAGCTTGAAAAAGCTTCCATGGACTCGGAAGGGGTGTGAAAGGGATGGGAACTGCGCGTCGTTGATAGGCTTCCCTCAGGACGGCGCCATGCAGGAGCACGGCGACGTGTTCCTCACCGACAGGGAGATTATGAAGAGAACAATTTTGCGAGGAGAACCCATTGTCTTCTGTTCGGATGTGCGTGGCTCCATCCGGAAGACCCTGCCGAGCCAGGAGCCAGGCGTTCGCGGGAGAACAGTCGCCCTCCGGCAGCACCATTGGAAGGCGGTCATGCAGGCGGGCCTCAGCCAGTATCACTTTGGCACGTACGACGACGGCTCGAGCGCGGAGGACCAGCCGGGCGTCCCGCGGATCCATTTGAAGCTGCCGCCGACCGACCGCCGCGACCTCCACCTGCCATTCCACAACCGCCTGATGAAGCTGCGCGGCGTTTCCTCGCAGGCGTACACGAGTGCGATTGGGGCAAAGGAGACCAGGAAGAGGAGAGCGCCGCCTGCCTCCGCCAGCGCTCCGCGAGCCGCGCGGCAGCGGGGGGCTGCGGTGCCCGGCGGGCAGGCGGGGGCCCCGCGCGGCCCGGGCGCGACGGCGGCGGCGGGCGGAGCAGCAGGAGGAATTGCCGGCGGCGCGGGAGGGGCCGACGCGGCGGCGACGGCCAGCGGCGCAGCGCCGACGCCCGCCGGCGCGGCAGGCCGCGGCGCGGCACCGGCGCGGGCGCGCCCCAGCCGCGCCCCGGGAGAGTGGTAGAGTCTGAGTGGTGGGGCGTCGTCGAATGAGAGCATGGGTGAATCGAGCCGCCCACGCCTGCGCCAGGTGTCCGTCGGGATGCTAGGGTGCGGGGCGCTCCCTCCGGCAGTTTTGGCCCCCGACCGCTTAGATGCGGGCGCTCCTTGGCAGTTTTGGTACCCGATCTATACCCTGCGGTCTCAGCGCACCTGTATTGGGCAGCTAGGCATACTGGCTTCGCGCAGGACGCAAGAGAGGATCAGGACCAGGAGTAAAAGGACGATCAAGGTTGCCAGTTCGAGCGCGTCAAGCATGGCATGCACATCCCCACCGTGATTCCCACCCGCCCTCCCACAACATAAGAAACAGTGAAGGCGCAATCGGTAACCGAAATCGTCAAGGTGGTGTGGCACAGCTGATGCAGCCGCCATGGTGGTTACCGATGGGGAAGTCCTCGCCCGTCTCAATGGCTGCGCTGGCACTTCAGCACGAACCGAGGATGCCCCAGGAGGCCCCAGGAAGCTTCAGGAGGCCCCAGGAGGCTTCAGGAGGCCTCCCTGAGGCGGTGGGACGCTCCAGGGGGCTCCAGGAGGCTTCAGGAGGCCGCAATTCGCATTGCCGACGACAAGACAGGCCATGTTGAAAGGAAAAGCGGAGACTTTGTATTGAGTTTTGACAGTCAGGATGGGAGGGCCCAGATTGACGTCCGCGCGCGATGCGCGCCGCGTCCCATTCCTGCCACGCAGTTCGCATCGTCGACGACAAGACAAGCCATGTTGGGAGGGAAAACGGGCATTTTGCACTGATGTCACACAGTCTGGATGGGAGAGCCCGGATGCAACCGCCATCGGCCAGACAGAAGGGAGAGTAGGAGTATATACGAATAAGGAGTAAGAATGAGGAGGATGTGAAACGATATTGCCATGCATCTTCCCGTCCCATGTCCCCATCTGTATACGTAAGTCCTCACAGATTTCCTGTGTTCACAAGTGGACGCGCACATTTGAAAGACAGGCGCTCTGCGGGCGTGGCGTTCACGACCCTGACTCTGGATCCGCCCTACTTTGGGGAAATTCGTAAGTGGGGCTTGGAATTTCCGCCTTAGTTTTCAAGCCCGGCTGATGCAAATTTCCGCCCTACTTTTCTGTTGCTGTTTCTCTGGATGTCCGCCCTATTGTACGTTGGGTGCAGCAGTTTCCGCCCTACTTTTTCGGCCTCTTCTAGGTGGATTTCCGACGCAATTTGAAGTTGGAGAAAAAGCCAAAGTAGGGCGGATCCGGAGTCAGGGGATTCGTGGCAGACCCGGGGCACCCAGCACAACGCCCGGCGCACCGAAGGCACCCGGCGCCGAGAGCATCCAGGACACCCAGCGCACCCGGCACCGAGCGCACCCGGCGCCGAGTGCACCCGGCGCACCCGGCACACCCGGCGGCCCAGCACCCGGCGCCGAGTGCACCCGGGACACCCGGCGCACCCGGCGCCGAGCGCACCCGGCACACCCGGCACACCCGGCGGCCGGGCACCCGGCGCCGAATGCACCCGGGACACCCGGCGCCGAGCGCACCCGGCACACCCGGCACACCCGGCGCACCCGGGACCCCGCACAAGCAACTGTTATGCTGGGCTCTGGGGAGGTCCAGCAGAGGTACATCCCACATCCCACGCGGACCACCTCGGGACCTCGCCGCCTCCTGGGGGGGCTTGCGATCTTAGCGCAACTGTCGCCACTTCCGTGGGCGAATGGGAGGCCCAGCGGAGGTACGTCCCACGCGGACCACCTCGGGACCTCGCCGCCCCCTGCTACTACTATGAATGTTGGAATTGTAACTAAAAATTACTAAGAGCCGTACTAAAACCACTACTACGGCTACTACTCGTATTACTTCTACTACGACTGATACCACTATTTTGAGACGTTTTTTTCTATGAGTGTAAAGATCAATACTACTACTACTACTACTACTACTACTACTACTACTACTACTACTACGACTACTACTACTACTACTACTACTACTACTACTACTACTACTACTACTACTACTACTACTACTACTACTACTACTACTACTACTACTACTACTACTACTACTACTACTACTACTACTACTACTACTACTACTATACTACTACTACTACTGATACTACTACTACTACTACTAATACTACTAATTACTACTACTACTACTACTACTACTACTACTACTTTACTACTACTACTACTACTACTACTACTACTACTACTACTACTACTACTACTACTACTACTACTACTACTACTACTACTACTACTACTACTACTACTACTACTACTACTACTACTACTACTACTACTACTACTACTACTACTACTACTACTACTACTACTACTACTACTACTACTACTACTACTACTACTACTACTACTCCTACGGCTACCACTAGTACGACGACGACTACAAGTATTATTATTACTATTATTACGACTACGACTACTACTAATACTACTACCACCATTGCGGTGGATAGTACTACTCGTGCTTACTACGACTACGACTACTACGACCAGTATGTTCTATTATGCCTATTACTATCACCACTCAGCCAAGTACTCCTACGATTACTGTGTTTCCTACTACGACAACGCTCTCTATTACTATTGTGAACATTTCTACTGCTACCACTATGATTTCTACTACTACTACTACTGCTACGTTTACTTCTTCGGCTACTACTATGACACGAGTACGGTTATTGTGATTATTGCTACGACTATTACTACCACTACGACTACCACCACAACTACTACTACGACGGCTACTACTACTACTACTACTACTACGACTACGACTACTACTACTACTACTACTACTACTACGACTACTACGACGACGCCGACGACTACTACTATTACAAGTACTACTATGACTACTACTACTACTATTACTACTACTACTACCACTACTACTACTACTACTACTATTACTACTACTACTACTACTAGTAGTAGTAGTAGTACTACTACTAGGACGACTACTACTACTACTACTACTACTATTATTTGTATTTGTATTGTTGCTGCTACTACTGGCTCTATTTCGACGACATCGGCGACATTACGACGAGTACTACTACTACGACTACTGCTACTACTACTACTACTACTACTACTACTACTACGACTACTACTACTACTACTACTACTGCTACTACTACTACTACTACTACTACTACTACTACTACTACCACGGATACCACGGATATTACGAGTGCTACTACCGTTTCTACTACTACTACTATTACGACGACGACTACTACTACTCCTACTACTACATCGGCTACTACGACTTCTATTACTACTACTAGCACTAGTACCACTACTGAGATGACTACTACTCCTACTACTACTTCTACGACTACTACTACTAGTACCACTACTGAGACGACTACTACTACTACTACTACTAATTCTACGACCACTATCACCGCTATAACAGCGACTTTTACTTTCACTATCATTTACAACTTCTACTACTCCTACTACTTCTACTTTTACTACTGTGTCTATGGTTTCGACGACCGACGGCGACGACGACTACTACTACGATTGTTATTGCTACTGCTACTATCACTACGTTATTAACATTGTTTCGAGAAGTAGCCGTCGCATTATTATGCTATTCCTAAGTCTTGTATCAATATTACTGCTATATTACTACCCTTACTGATACGAAAACTAGTATTATTATTACTACGAATATTATTGCCACTAAAGCTAAACTTACCATTGCGACTGTAACTACTCCGACGACTCCTATTTTCCAGCCCTTTCCTGGTAGCTCCGCCCCCTCCAATGGGTCCCGTTTTTCTGCCTTCTTGTGTCACTCCTCGTCCACCCTTCTTCTCTTCAGCCCCCTTCCCCATAGCCGCTTCTCCCCCCAAACCCCCCAAATCCCCCCCCCTCCCCTCCCAAGCACTTCCCTACCCCCCACCCGCTTTCCAACCCTTGCCTTCCCAATCCTTACGAACCTGGAACATATCCTTATCCCTATGGTTGGCATCGCCTCAGTTCGATGCCGATCTTAAGGGTTCCCTCCGTTTCTGAGGGCGGATCCCTAAGATTGTCGTCGCCTTTTGGCTTGTTAATCTTAGGCATGGGGATTAGTTCGAGGCTGGTTACATCCCCCCCCGTTCCACACACCCCTCCGCGCCGGGCAGATGAGCGGGGGCCCGCGCGTTCGGCCAAGCCGTGCCGCGCGGCGCCCTGTCCGCTCGCCTCCGTGACGCGCGAGCCCGCGCGCACACCTCGGGGGGACCGGCGGGCGCTCGGGGCCGGCGGCCGAAACGACGGGGAGGGGAAGAGGCAAAGGAGGAGGAGGAGGAGGAGGAGGAGGCGGGGGAGAAGGAGGAGGAAGAGGATGACGAGGTGGAGAAGGGGGAGGAGGAGGAGAAGGAAGAGGAAGAGGAGGAGGACGGAGGAACTGGAGGAGGAGGGGGAAGAGGAGGAAGAGGAGAAGGAGGAGGAGGAGGAGGAGGGCGAGCAGCAAAAGTAGGAGGAGGAGGAGGTGGAAGCGGAGTGAGAGGAGGAATTGGAGGTGGAGGAGGAAGAGGAGGAGGAGGAGGAGGAGGAGGAGGTGGAACTGGAAGGGCGGGGGGGCGGGCGAACTGGAGGTGGAGGAGGAGGAGGAGGAACAGGAAGAGGAGGAGGAGGAGGAGGAGGAGGAGGAGGAGGAGAAGTTGGATGAGGAGGAGGCGGAGGAGCGGGATGTGGACGGCGGAGGGCGCTTGGAGACGGGATACGAGGAGAGGGGCTGGAGGTCGCTTGGAGGTTCGGTCGGTTCGGCTGACCACGAAGGAACAGTCAATCTCTGTGTGCCGGGTGAGCGCCGAGCCCACGTGAGCTGGACGGTCAGCAACGCTCTTGCAGCGGTCTCGCCCTCACCTGAGGCACGCGAAGCCGAGAGGAAGGATGCTGAAACAAATCAGTGCGAGGTGCTGCCAAAGGTGGCTCTGGCCCAAGAGTGCCCTCTGCTTCTTGAACCGTTTTAGAGCCCCTTGGGGCCCACTGGACCGCGTGACGGGGTACTCTGGAGGCCGCATGGGCTCCCTAGAGGGGACTCCTGGGGCTAAGGGCACCTTTGGCAACGCCCGAAGGGACGAGGGCGCCCGGAGGAGAGGGGGGAGGGAGTGGGGAACCGGAGGGGGGCGGGAAGAGGGGTAGGGGGGGGAGTCGGAAGGGGGAGAGAGATGAGGAGGTTGAGAACACGGAGATTGGTCTATGGAAGGAAGAGGGAGAGAGAATGGTGATGAGGAGAGAAGGTCGGGATGAGGAGGGGTAACGTTGATGAGGAGAGGGGGAAATATGAGGATGGATCGGAACTGTGGGAGCACGGATAATCAGGGGAAAGGCGGAGGAGCAGGATGAGGAGGAGGAGGAGGAGGACGACGACATCAGGACCAGGATGGCGAGGACAGGGACCAAGATTTTTACGAATGCGAGGGGATGAGCGGCATCGATACTCTGCTGTTGTGGAGCGTACGCGCGCACTTTAAATCAATAGATCCTGCCTTCCAAAGACGTGGTTGGGTTTGTTCTGAAGACGCACGTGTTCCCTTCTCTACAGGCTCATGGCTCAGACAGGCCAGGTCACATTCCCCCGCGTGGCAGCATCGCTTGGAACTTACGACCAGGATGCCATCCCAGGGCCTGCGTATGTTGAAAATCACCCTTCACGCATGTGTGCAATGTAACTCGCCCGGCCCAGGTGCTGCCCTCTTTTCCACAGTCCCTTTCCCCACTTGGGTACACAGTTTAGCTCCGGGGGTCTGGGGAGGCTGGGCCCCGATTGGGAGCTACTCCTCCTCCTCGTCCTCCTCGTCCTCCTCCTCTACTTCCTTTACCTCCTTCTCCTCCTCCTCCTTCTCGTCCTCCTCCTCCTCCGCCTCCTCCTCCTCCGAAGTTCCAGCATGGCACCAGCGCTTCTCAAGACAGCTCAGAGGTGGTCCCCTCGTACCCCACAGATGCCCCGAATTGGCCAAGCACCATCCATGGGCAATGTGTTTCGCACGCGCGATTGTTCGCTTGTTGGCGCGTCTAAGACGGCCCAAGAGGACGTCCAAGATAGCCCCAATACTCTCAAAAGCAAGTGGATCCCAAGACAGCCCAAGAGAGAAGAGGGCACCGAGACGATCCAAGATGGGCCCAAGCCAGCCCAAAGACAGCTCCAGGAGATCCCCAAGACGGCCGCTCCGAGACGGCTCAAGGAGCCCGCACGACCCCAAGACGCCTCCAAAGGACCCCCAAGACGGCCCCGCCATTGCCCCGAATAATTACCCATAAGATGGCGCCCTGGCCCTTCCTGCATGGCTTTCCGCAGGGCTCCTCGCAGGAGACTCCACGGATCCCCTCGTGACACCCTCTGCCCGCGTGCGGAGGGCTGCCGGGCGCTGCCCCGCCAAGGCCTCCGAACCTCTGTGCTCGGCTCGATCGCCCGTCCCGTACAGTGGAGGCCCACGCCAAGAGACACCCTTCTTGCCTCCAGAGTGCTTTGGGCTTCTTGGGTTTCGATGGTTTTGCTGTGAGAGGCGTGACGCTCCCGCACCAAAGATCGATGCACGCCCTGAGGTCTCAGGATTGGGTTTCTTGCGGAAGGCTTCTTGTGGATTGGCGTCCACTGCAGGACTGTCCCGCCGTCGTCGTCGTCACCGACGACCGGCCCCCTCCGCAGGCGTTTTGGCCCGGGCCGCGGCCTCCGAGTTTTTTGTTTCCGGCCTCCGCCGGGGGGCCACATGCGAACCCTACCCCCTTGGCATCGCTCGGACGTGTACATTTTTTCTTCGGCGAGGACCATCGAGGAGCATCCTTGATTAATGGGCGACAGAACTACGCACGAAACCGAAGAAAGCACAGGGAATGGACGTCCGAGCGATGGCCAGACCCCTACCCCCCACCCTCCCCTCAGAACTCGTGGAGGGTATGGGGCAGGGTTCGCATGTGGCCCCCTATCCGCCGCGCGGGGGGGGCGCGGGAGCACGCGTGCCGCATGCAGGCCTCGTGGTCGTGCAGCACCCTGGGAGGCGCCAGGCCCGAGCAGGACCCGAGCTGGCCGCCCCGGCGGGCGGGCCGAGGCCGTCGCGCGTCCGCGGGGAGGGGCGGAGTCAGGAGGGAAAAAAGCACACAGACACGATTAATCGTCGATCCCCCAGAAAATATGGGAAGTGGGGGGGAAGACGAAAGCCCAGAGAGTATTGGGACATATGGGGCATCCTGACATTTGTGTGTGTGTACTTATTTGTGTGTCCGGGGGCCCCTTCACAGAGGCCTCGTCGTCCGCGTCGTCGTCAGCGTCGCCGCCGCCGCCGGCGTCGGCGTGCGGTCGTGATCCCCCCTGGGTGCCCCCCCCCCTCTCCCTTTCGGGGGCCCCCAAACGGGGTGGTGACCACACCGTGCGGTGAGTCGGTGGGGATTCGGGGTCACCGCACGGTTTTGGGATTCGAGCTCCTCTCCGAGGATGTCTCGGGCGACTCCGAAATCCCAAGACCGTGCGGTGACGGACCGTGCGGTGAGATTTTGGGGGATTTCGAGGTCACCGCACGGTCTGTCACCGCACCGTTCCGGGACTCCAAATCCCTTGGCACGAGCCCCGCCGGCCTCCGAGGTTCGCGGGGAGAACGGAGGCGGAGGGAAGGAGGAGGGAGGAGGGAGGAGGGAGGAAAGAGGAGGAGGGAGGAAGGAGGAAGGAGGAGGGAGGAGGGGAGGAGGGAGGAGGAGGGAGGAGGGAGGAGGAGGAGGAGGAAGAAGGAGGAGGGAGGAGGACGAGGGAGGAGGAGAGGACGAGAGGAAGGAGGGAGGGAGGAAGGAGGGGGGAGGGAGGAGAAGAGGAGGGGGAGGAGGGGAGGGGGGAGGAGGTTTCGCTCGCCTTCCCTCTCTCCTCCCTCCCCCTCCTCGCGGCACGAGCCCCTCGCCGCCCGCACCTCGCGCTCCCGCTCCAGGGCGGGCCCGCCCCTACCCCGCCACCCTGGTTCCCCTTCCTCCTCGCCCCCTTCCTCGCCCCCCTCCTCGCCCTCCCTCGTCTCCCCCCCTCCTCCTCGCCCCCTCCATCTCGCCCCCCCTGGTTCCCCCCCTCCTCGCCCCCCTCCCGCTCTCCCTCGCCTCCCTCCTGCTCCTCCGCGTCTTCCGGCTCGTCCTCGCGTCTCCCTCCTGCTCCTCTCTCGCCCCCGCCCGCCCTGGTTCCTCTTGCTCGCTCTCGTCGCCCTCCTGTTTCTCCGCGTCCGCCGGCTCGTCCTCCTCCCTCCTCTCCTGCTCCTGGACGCCCGAAATGGGCACGGAAAGACTAGGTACAATGCCCAACAGCAGTTCCTGTTCATTTTGAACAGGATTCGCTGTCCGCGCCGCCGCGGCCTGTGTCCGTTCGAGACAGAAGGCCGTGCGCCCAACAGCGGCCGTTGTTGGTTTGGGACAACATTTTGTTGCTGGGCAGTGTGCCCATTTGTGTCCGTCCCAACTCGGGCGTCCAAAGGGATGGGAGGCGAGACGAGGTTTCTGAGGGGGGTGGTCTGTGGCGAGGGGGGCAGTGGCTTGGTGGGCCCCAGAAACGGCAGGGCCGTTTCTTCACCGTTTCCGAAAAAGTGTCCCTTGAAAATGGAAACGACAAAACAAACGGCTAAAGGAGGGACAACGGGAAACGAGCATTTCGGACGTCCATTTCGGGAAACTGGCCTCCGTGATCCCTCTGATGTGTCTCGCTCTGGGGGCACGGGCCCGCAGCTGGCACACCCTTGTCGGATTGCTCCCCCCTCCCTCGGGCCCTCGCAAGGGGGGAAGGTGCCACAGGAGGGGGGATGAGTTCGGTCCGTTGGCGCATCGATCCGCGGAAAAATCGTTGTTCGGAAATTCGATGCACCAGCGGATCGAACGCCCCCCCCCCCCCAGGTCCCCCACCCCTTTGGTGGGCCGGCCCCGAGTCACTCTCTCTTTCTCTCTCTCTCACACACACGCACACACACACACACACACACTCGCACACACACACACACACACTTTAAGGGTAGCTCTTTGGGAGATGTTACAGTATCGGGAGCATAGCTCGCGCGCCGTTGCCTTTGGCCCAAGGCACGCGCGCCCTATTTGCCCGGACGCCGCGAGTGTTCGCTATGTGCTGGAAAGATCATTACATCGATCTTATCTTATCTTACTCATCCACCCCTCATACTGTACCTTCACAGCAGAGCGATGGATGCAATTTGCCAGGCTATATGCCATATTTGAGCTACCAGGTTCACTTTCGACTTGGTAGCGGAGCTGGCCGCACTCTCGCGTGGTCAGCTCTTGCTCTTCTTAGCCTCATATTCTTCGGCACGATCTTCGTGACCACCTACCACCCTGCGCTACCACTCCCAGTACGTTTACGAGGATCTATCCAAGAGCAAGAAGCAACACGAGAGGTACGACGTCTAGACGACCAGATTAGTACCATATACGCTTCATCATTGCGTTACCACCAACCGCTCGGCAACGAGCCAACAGCGCAATACTTGAAGCAGGGGCGGGGAGACCCGCCAGACAGAACGCCTCGAAGACTCGACAAGGCGCTACCCCAGCGCGACAACGCGCATCATAACCGTCCTTCGTTACGCATTCTCGGGCTAGTCGTTTTCGCTATTATATGGTTCGCGCTGGGGGCAGCAATCGGACACGTGCGTCGTGGAGAAAACAGCACCGATGGGCAAACACATGGCCCATATTGGGACCCTCAAGGTAATGTACCTTTTCGTGAGTACATCTACGAGGTCAACGCATGGCTCAACGTTACAAGCGGACGTATGACGCCACAGGCCCAAGCGGCCGCAATACAACGCGGCCTAGGTGGCCTAGCGAGGACACTCGCCATGAGGGTACCGCCTGACATTATCAACTATGGTGCTGACATCGACGGGGTCCACACAGACCCTGTGACCTACATCATGTTCCTCCTAAGCATGAAGTTCGAACGCCTGGAAGATGAGCGACAGCTCACTTCCGGCACACAACTCATCGACTTCCACGTGCCTCACGGGGAACGAATCGATGTCACCCTTACCCGATTCGAAATGGCCCGACTTGAGGCACAATCGGTGGGATTCGACCTTCCCAACTTCCAACTGCTAACCACTATCCTATTCCGCGCCTTAGGCGTCGGCAACCAGCGAGCCATGCAACTCTTACAGCCACTCAATCACCAAATGCCCCGAACACAACAACAGTATGATGAGTTGCTGGAGAGGATGCGTTCGATCGGCCACCTATCCGAACGGTCTCCTGGTAACATAGGATCTGTGTTTGGAAGGGGAAGGGGATCTGGTAGTGGAAATTTCTACACTACCTTGACCACTGAAGCCCAGCCTGGAAACGGGCCCTCAAGCATATGGGCCGATGACCCAGGAGAATCCACTGCTTTATTAGCAGGGGATCGATCACAACCAAGCTGGGCAACCAGCCCTCCTTCTAGAGAACCACAACCACACCGTTCTTTGTGGGGGGAATCAAACCCCCTAACCGACGGTGTATCCACCTACTTGGGAGACGAGGATTTCGACTCCGGCACCGATACAGACACTATATCATCAGATGGTGTTGAAGCTTTAGATTGGTCAGATATTATGAATATGGATAACGACAATCAGCGTGCTGAGCATTTGTTCTGGTTATTACAACAGGCTAAACGAAGGTGGAGGAGGTTCACACGAAAACCAGTGCGTCGTGTTAGAAGGAGGATACGTAGAAGTTTTAAAGGAAAGGGTAAAGGCAAGCGAGGTCGTCGGAGGTTGAACGGACGAGGTATCGCGGCATTTCTCCAGAGGCTCTCAGATGAACAGCATGATGAGATATTCTTTGGGGGAAAAGGCCGCGGTAAAGGCCGTGGAGAGACCTCAGGAAAAGGTAAAGGTAGGCGGGGAAACCCGCGAGGTAGAGACGGCCAGGTTCTCAAATGCCATGAATGTGGTAGTTCCGATCATCTTGTGCGAGATTGTCCAGTGAAGGGAAATGGAAAGGGCAGGTCGACCGAAGTCCATTTTGGCTCAAGTGAACCATCCATTGAGTATCTGAGCCTCCAGGACTTTGAGGCTATGGAGCAGATATTTTTCACTTGGGTTGTTGGCATGGACAACGTCGACGAGCTCGAGGGGTATGGTCATGGATTGTACGCGTACTACCTCGAGTACGTCCGCCGGTTCGTTACGGGCAGTAACGAGCTCACTCCCGTGGAACACGGTACGCTGGGAAACCAGCCTCTTTCTTTCTCGACTGGATGTTCGGGAACCCAGGCAACATCATGGCCTACGAGAGCGACGACGAGGACACCACTATAGAGGCTTCGCCTTCCGAGGTTCAACGGAACCTCGAACCTCCGCCCGAAATCCCGCCTGGAAACAGGCCGTCTCTGATGGGAGAATATCCCCAGACCACTGAAGACTTAATTGAAATGGAGTCTCAGGCATTTGTTCAGGCCTTCATTGCAGGCGAACCAGATACTCCGTTCATACCTCCTGGTTCGCTTGCTCCAGGCGAATATGGACCACGCACCCTTTTGCAGACCCTCATGAGGATGCATGAGATACTTATAACTGGTTATCCTGAGAGTCAAGAACATATCGAAGCTGACATTATGACAGAACAGGATACTGATGCTTGCGGTAGCTCAGAGCTGTTGTTGGCAGCTCTGACTCTCATTGACAGCGTGCATCCTCAGGACGTGCAGAGACACTTGATATACTCCCGTGGTAGATGGCGTAATGCTCTAGAAATGGCTATTGCTATGCGCGGTCATGATCTTCCTCCGCCAGGATGGGGTCTCCAGGCGGTGGGAATGAGGCCAAACCACACGGCCATGCGTAACATTGCTGGGCAGCCTGTGCTCGGCAACGAGCCTGAGCCGACAACAGTGCCTCCTACTCCGGGACAGCCGAGCGACGCACAGACGCCGGCTATGCAGGGAAACCTGCCTGTACCAGATACGCCAATGGCCATCATCATCGGTAGTTCGACATCAGAAGAAGTAGAAGGCGATGGTTGCGGGTTAGATGAGGATGACGTCACCATCCTCATGATGGACGTGAATGGT